GAAGGTCATATACTGATGCGTTGTTGTCCTTCGTGTTTATTCTAGCATTTATAATATACGGTAGAGTTAATTAATATGAAAATATCAGGTGCTAAAGGAATGATTAAAATAATGTCCATCCAAAAGGGATAATAACGCTGTCATGTGATATTACTTTCACTATGCACACCTGTCGATTAGTTATGTAGTATTTTTTTTAGAAATATACGCCGCACTATTCACTTTTTGGTTTTTATGAAAGATTAGATGAGTATTTTATAGGTTAGCAAAACTTCAGCCTGTCTAGGTCTATGCCCCTACACTTCCTTGGAATAATGTTGCCATTTCTCAATTCACTTTTCCTTTTTATATCATAATAACGATGGCAGCATAGTATTTGGTCTTCGTTATTTATTTTGTCTATAACATGGTGAATATGTTGCGTAACCTTTAATTGAATTTTAGTATCATTGATGAACATTTGGCTGGGTAATTATCGTTTTTTTTTCTTTTATTCTAAAAAATTTGTTGTTTAATGTTTATCTTTATAAAGTTTTATGCGATTAGGCAATCTGATTTATAATTTTATTATTATTTAATTATCAATCATGTAATCGATCACGAAAACAAATCACGAGATGTATTCGTAGTGAAAAGAAGGATTAGCTGAGTTGTAACAGCTTGTTAATCCCGTTAATTATAGAATCATTTCGATTGTGACAGTCCGATGATTTTAAAATATTTTAGTAATAATAAACAAATAAATCAAAACACAATAAAGGTTAGCTGAGTCGTGACAACTTGTTAATCTTGTAAAATTTGTGTCAGGTTATCTTGGCTACGATAATTTGATAATCCAAATTTTCCCTAAAAAATAAATTGGTTAAAATCGCAATGAATTTTTACAATTATTTATTAATTAAAGAATAATATCAAAGATTCTTGATTTTGAATAAAAGAATTAGCTTAGTCGAGACAACTTGTTAGTCCTACATCTTGCTTGGATCATTTTGGTTGGGACAACCTGATAATCCGGGAACACCGTATATAATCAAATGAATTTTTCAAAATTAAAATCAGTAAATGTACAAATTTTTTATAAAGAACGACGTAGCTTTGAATTCCTCACTGTACCGGAGGATACGTCGGAGCGAAACTCTTTTGCGTCAAGCTAAAATAAAATTTTAATATTTAGTCTTTCTACTCCCTAAACAATCATATTTATTTTTAAGGGATAAAGCAAACAATTTTAAAAGCTATTAATAATTCGCACAATTAATTCAAGGTAACCGTTTTTAAACGGATGTGTCAAGGGTGCAGTGGAATTAAGTTTCCACCCTTCCTTGCGCATAATTAGACTCCTGAACCTTTGATTTATAATTTTTAAGACCAGTTTGCAAATAAAGGTTTTCCAATTTTTCCAAAGTAAATAAAGTTGGTGGCGACTCCATTGTTTTAATTTTTTTAATTTCGGGTCGTTACAGATGGCGACTCCACTGGTTTTAATTTTTTTAATTTCGGGTCGTTACAATATTTAATATTCAATAATTTAACAAAACAAAGCTAAATTTATAATACCCATTAATTTTATAAATAAACATAAGATGTCATAAATATTTATATTAAATTCAATAAAATGATAAAAGTAATCTAACGAATCTAATAGTTAGAACTAAAAACGCAACGCAATGTAATCTTTGAATCTTTTTTGAGTTTATACAATGCACGTTGAAGTGTCGGGAAGTTCAAAAAGTGTCGGATATAACACGTCAAAATTTTTAAAGTGTCGATGCTTCGTAAGTCTGCAACACCAATGTATCAACATTTTCTGCCGCTTTATCAAAACAAGTTTAGTAAGTGCATTTGATCTGAATTTCCCTTTTCAAACACAATAACCCCAAACATATGAACTCAAAGTGCCCACGGACTTCTTTTGTGTAGTTTAGATTAAAAAATTATATGAACACAAAAGAAACACAAACATATGACTTAACTACGAGCTTGCCTATTTTCCTCAATCGGGACAGAGTATTCCATTGTCGAAATAACTAGAAGGTATTCCTCATAACACTCAAAAGAAAATGCCAATTCGAAATTAATTTCGTCTCCACGTAAGAACACCACCATAAGGATTTCTCTTGAAAAGAAAACAGTTCCATACCTAGAGCAAGCATCCAATTCAATGGAATATTGAACTATCAAATTCGATTTAGCATAGGTCACTAATGCTAAGAATTCCATTAATATATATTAAAAAAATAGGGCAATAATGATTTTTATAACACATGTAATGGTGCATTCATCAAATCAAGCAAAATTAGAACACAGTGAAACTTTCAACATTTCAGCATTTAACGCAGGTCATGAAGTGGGTCTGCTGCTAAAGATTTTGCGAGAACATAACTAAGCAGCAAGAGAGGTCACAGAATAGGATCATTTCCAATTGATGAAAATTGACAATCACACACAAATTGCAAAATAAAAAAGAAAAAAGAGAAGAGAGAATTTTGACACAACAATTTATTCACTCAAACTAGACTACATCCAGCTTATCTATATGTTCGCCACTCAGTACAAGTTATTTAATTTAAAAAAGAAGATAAATAATAGCTATTTATGGACACAAGGCCAAACTACTGGGCCCGTAACAAGGGTTCAATTATCTTTCTACTAACCCGGACAACAAAAACAGTTATCAATATCTATAAGTTATACTCAACACCAATAGAACTGAGAGCTAAAGAAAAATTCAACGAAGAAATTTTACGGCTTTAGCAGGTAGAAAGTGTCAATTTTGCAATAGTCCTCGACCGTGGAACCGCGAAGCCTTCTATTTCCAAGGTTGCAACTTGCAATTGGGCTTTCTTTCTCGTTTTCGTTGGGCTCTTAAATACGTTGGTATGATCCCTTATGGGAGAGAATAAGCAACTAAGCAAGCCTTTTGAACAGTCACGGGTCTGCTACTATTAACAACTACATTTATATAACAAAAATTAATGTTCCAAACAAAAATTACAACATCTCATGTTCAATGCGTTTAGCTGTAAAACAAAATAATTATAATACCAAAGTTGCAAAGCATTTATTTTTTCAGAAAAAAAATTGAGTTGTACAATGAGACTGTTTTGGATCAACTTTTTGAAACAAACCATATTAAATCCCTCCTTCACGATTTCAGTAATAGTATGTACACACAGATTCATTACAACATCGAACTAATTGATACCATTTTGGTAACTATATATTAAAATGCCACGTTTTTTAAACCCATTTCTCAATATATTACACTATGTACACACATAACCCGCACAATTAATTTAATATGCTATATTATATTACATTACCTTACCCTACCTACAACTAATATGCTATACCACACTACGTTTAATTAATATGCAACATTAAAAAATAATAATTGGAGAAGGATTAAAAACTTACTTGGTATAAAGCTTGAGAGAGAATCCTAAAGATAAATTATAGAGAGAGCAAAGTAATGAAGGTATATTAGGGGTGAGAGAGACCCACCCACCAGTTCCTGAACCGATTTGGCCAAGCAGGACTTTGTCTTGCAATGTTTGACCGCAAATCTTAGACGCTACAGTACACGACATGGTAAAATGTATACCAATAAGCCCAATAACAAGACTCTATCCGTAGCATTTGAAATTTTTTTTCGAAAACATGACATTTGAAATTTGTTTTTTCTCCATTTTGGTGGTTATCCCCAAACTCATTTGTCACTAAAACCAAACTAACCTTTAATGGCTTAAAAAACTTGTAATCATTGCTTTACATACATGATAAAAGAATATGAGCCACTCATTTCTCTTGATACTTTGGTATAAAAAATAAAAAGTCGTACTCCTTGTTGATCTTTGTATATTTAATTATTATAATTTATTGAATTATGCTCATTAATTTATCATTAATTCCTAATAAATTATAACTGTGAGACGTATATGTAGTATAAGATTTCTTATTTTTATATAGTAAAATGTCCCTCATCTATATAATTCTTATGTTAAGGACTGTTAATATCCATATAATATATTTAAAAAATTAAGTATTCTTAAAATTTGGCCTAAAATTTAAAATTAAATAATCAAAGTACCAGCTTACCAAAAAAATAAATAACAAATAATCAAAGTACCAAATAGAACTCTTGAAATGAATAGGCTTATCTCTTAATTTTCATGATAATTCCTCGCGGATGTATTTAAGAAGAATAAAATTAGTTAACATGATATGAATTTAATAAAATTCATATTGAAAAGTGTGAACAGTCGATAATGTATAAATAGAGTGATGCAAATAAAAAGTGAAAGTGAAAAAATATATTAGTTATGTGAGGAATTTGTTATTAGAAATAACATTTCCCGTTTGGATATTTGGTGTACAATGATCATTTAAAATTGTACTTTTTTTGGGCGGACGAAGTTAGGAAACTGTACTTTAATTAGAAAAACATTTAGACACATATACGGTGGTCCAAGTACGTACTAAACCGACCATATAATTTATAAAAGGTTGTTATAATTTTGGACCGCTTGTATAACAGTAGCAATTTCTGTTGTTTGGTTTACATTCATGCATATTACAAAATTGTTTCAAGAATGTGGGTTTATCTTATATGATCTTACAATTATTTAGGGAAACGTTACCTCAGGGCCAGATGGGTTTATCTTATATGATCTTTCATCCTATTTGAAAGGCTTATCTAGCTGGGCCCAAAATGTTAGGGTATGGTTCTTGTCCTACACATCAATAGCTTTTATGGCACGTAAGTACCAAGGAACAAATGGCCTACAATGAGACTTATCTGTTTTCATCTCCTAGACCAAACATATATTGCCCACAAGTTCAATCCCTGTTCTGTGGTTTGTGAATGATTCCACATGGCCATGCACCATATCACCATAGCAAACTGAATACACTACCATGTGGCATTGTCTAATTTTGTGAATCTATATATATATATATAAATCAGAACCAATGTTCACATTCAACACAACCTCAATAAGGATTTGCACCTACTACTCTATAACCCCGTATCCTTATAATTAGTCCTTCTTTTACTTTCTTTTAAGTCCTCAGAGATTTCAAGTTTTCAACCATGATCAGTGCAAAAAGGATTATTAAAATGGCAAGAAAGTGGCAGCAAATGGCAGCTGGAAACCGCAAGAGAATTTCATACCCAAGACACGAAGTGAGTATGCATTCTTCAGCAGCAAACAAGGGCCACTTCGTTGTTTACAGCATCGATCATAAGCGATTTGTGGTTCCCCTCAAGTATCTTAGCACCAACATCTTCAGGGAGCTTCTCAAATGGTCAGAGGAAGAGTTTGGTTTACCAGCCAATAGACCAATTATGTTACCTTGTGAAAGTGTGTTCTTGGACTATGTAATCTCGTTAGTTCGAGAAAGCATCCCCGAAGATGTGGAGAAGGCTTTGACCACTTTCGTGGCTGCATGTCACAACGAGGCATCATCTTCTAATTATGGTCTTAGGCAAAGCAACGTACAAACAATTATTTATGGATTTTGAAGAGATTTTTTGATACTTGTGTATGCAAAATTACAAATATAGATTACAGAGCCTCTACAACATATTCTGATGCTTCAAAACAAGAATTGTAATTAAATATGAGAAGGAAACAATATCTTTCATCACTTTTTGTTATCATTCAACATGAAATCCTTATGGGAAAAAAAAATCGTAACTTTATCAATATACTCTTTCTTTTACATATTTATCGCCACCCCATAACATAACGAAGAATAGCTAATAATAAGGACTCTTAAAAAAATCAAAAACTAATTAGAGGTTTACGTACTAATGGAGATCTATATAATGGGGCTCTATTTCTATTATTTCTTTCTGCCATATCTTATTTGATCGACTTTTTGTTTATTACAACAGCATGGGATAAGCTTTTATTGATTCAAAATTTAATAATAAATACGAAATGATTGTAACTCAGTTGGTGTTAGGAAACTGAGCAAGTGAGGAGTAAGAGCACATGTTCGATTTTTTCGAAACCGTATTTAGAAGGGGTTTAAATTCTTAATCCCGGGACTTGCCCCGAATCAGACTAATCGAAAATCGATGAATCGATTGAAATATCTCCAAAAAATAATAATTTAATACTCAATTATTCTAAAGACTCATGCTATTAAGTTAGAAGAGCACTCGTGAATGGTTCATGTCTCATACTCATTCTTAAAAGAGAAGAGTTGAAGTTTAGATTGTGTGTAAACTATTTTATTTTATGCTAGAATTTATTTATTTTTATTTCAAAAAATGAGGACGACATTAATAGAAGTACTAATTACTTAGGTCACAAAAAATATACCCTCCATTTGTTAAAGTAGTACTTTTTTGTTTGCCCTCTTCACTTGATCATAGAATATTCCTTCCGTTTTTAAAAGTAGTACTTTCTTTGCTCTCTTCAACAATTAAGGGGAACCCTTATATATTTAATTGCAATATGTGTGTAAGAATAAAAAATCATCACTTTTATCAAAAATAGAAATTAAATTCTAGCTTTATACTCGGATTATCGCTTTATAAAGAACCTTATCACCAAAAAATAAAAAAGGGAATCATATCCTTTCTAGTTCTATTTTAAATTTTCAATTCTCTTCTTGTGTTCGTTTTCCAAAGCGAACTATTCAAAATGGAAATATTATCAGTGTCTACAGGTGCTATATTCTTTTGACCATTCATGCGGCGTTTATTGTTATAACAATAATACAAAATGTCACGAAAACAAATTCGCTAGACTTGTACGAATCATTCTGAATACATAATTACTATTTTTTCAATGACCACCCGTTTTACTTTTGTCACTCTTTATTCTTGTCTTTCTTTCCATGCAAAAAAAAAAATGTCCTAGTTGCTGGTAAGAGTATTGAAAATAAAATCAGATTAATTAAAATAAAAAAATTAAAAATAAAAGATCAAGTATAATTAAAAAAATAAAATTAATTTTTGGGCACAAATACAAAAATCAATTCAATTTAAATCGAACTAAAGTTTATACATATTTTTTAAAATAATATTATATTTGAATTTTTTTTTATATTCTTCAAGTTTATTTAAAAAAAGGGACAAGTGGATGCTAATCCGACTCTTATCTGTACAATTATTTGAGCATGGTAAGCCTCTTGAACTATTTACATAATTGAGAGATCATGAAGTTTTGATGGAGTGAAAGTGCTTTGCATTGTAGGCTTTATCCACGAAGTTGTTGTGCCAGACACTTCACAAAAAGTTTTGGCCCCAACATGCCCCGTTTCCCTTGCTTAATAATTGACCCATCACCGTAATGATTATAGCTTGTCCATAAATCGGTGAATGCCTACAAATTTCATAATTAAAGTCATGCGTACATGTTGGATTGTTTTGTGTCGAATGTTTTTTTTTTTTTTTTTTTCTTATGGTTCCTGGCCTCCTTCCTGTCCTATATATCTTCGACCCAATGAACCATGTAACAAGTGGGCAGTCACTATTTACTAATGTACAGAGCACCCTTCATTATATGCCAAGTTGATATAAGACAAACTCGTTGAAGTCATTACCTCAACAACATCCACCCATATAAATTCCACTCCAGGGGGAAGATCTTCTTACACTTTTTTTTTTATAATTTTTATTATTAATTTTATTTGTATTTTACGGCTCACATAATTAATAAATTAAATATAAAATAGAATTAACAGTTTCAATTGAGTGCCTACTTATTATTTCTGTCATTAGTTATTTATATATATATACAAAAAAATCCGTTTACAAATTTTTTTTACAAATTATACTAAGTATGACCGGTCATATTTAGTGAAATTTATAAGAGTTTGTAAATAAAAAATTTGTATATATAACTTTCCACACACACACACACACACATATATATATATATATACGAGGTAGGAAATTTAAAATTTGACACCTAATCTGAAAGCCGTTATATAAAAAAAAATCAACGACTCTGATTTGTAAGCATGTAACACCATTGATCTTTTTGATCTAACGGCTATCAGATGAGGTGTCAAATTTAAAATTTGACACTGATGTCAAAGAATCCTACTTTTATATATATATATATATATATATATATATAGAGAGAGAGAGAGAGAGAGAGAGAGAGAGAAACATGATCATTTTATATCCTAATAAATTACACTCTCTCCATGTAATTCAGAGTTAGACATTTATATATGGGTAAGGGTAAGGATTCCGGTGTAAGTTATACTTCAACTTTGATTATTGATCTCATTTATATTTTACAATTTTGATTTATTAAATATTTGAGCTGTTTGATGCAAGTTGTTAGAGAATAATATAAACCATTAAAAAGGCTCTCAACCAACACCTTAAGGTTTTGGGTTGAAATGGTTCTTTACATGGTATCAGGGCTTAAGTGACCATAAGGTCACGAGTTCGATCATCATCGCCTCCCACTTTCTAGTGGATTTAAAATAAAAGCACAAAAAGGTAAATCAAAAAATGGGTCTCTGCAATATCCGCGCTTCAAGTCCAAAGGGCTCTTGCGTGAGGAAAGGCCTTCACTCAAGACCTTAAGGTTCTGGGTTGAAATGATTATTTACACAAGTAAATCAATGATACAAATTTAGTGTAATACTTTTTATTTTTACACCGGTATAAATTTTTTTTGTATCTTTATATATATATATATATATATATATATATATATATATATATAAACATAATATTACAGGAAAATACCTTTTTATTGTGCCTGGTGGATACTTTTTTTTCCAGTAATATTATATTCATAATCTCATATATATATATATATATATGAGGTAGGATCCTTTGACACCGGTGTCAAATTTAAAATTTGACACCTCGTCTGAGAGCCGTTAGATCAAAAAATATCAATGGTATCACATGCTTACAAATCAGAGTCGTTGATATTTTTTGATCTAACGGCTCTCAGACGAGGTGTCAAACAACAAATTTGACACCTGTGTCAAAGGATCCTATCTCTCTCTCTCTCTCTCTCTCTATATATATATATATATATATATATATATATATATATATAGGAGAGAGATCATTTGATTCGAGAGTAAGACTTATAAGTCTTACTCTCCATCCTAACCGTTGATTTCCGTCCATCCAACGGTTATAATTTAGGAAGTTATATTAATTAATTAATTATTAATTATACTATTAATGACAACCGTTGATTTTCGTCCATCAACGGCTGGGATTTGGAGTAAGACTTAAAAGTCTTACTCTGGAGTCAAAAGAACCCTCCCCATATATATATATATATATATATATATATATATATATATATATATAGGGTTTCGATTTTCTTATACAGTAAGAGAAAATTTTCTTATGTTATGGACACATCTTACGTGGGGTTTACATCTATTAAAAAATAAAAAAAATAAAAGAAAATGTACAAAAATCAAAGGTTCACTAGTAGGAGAAAACAACTCTCCTACAATATGAGAATTGCATTGTGGGATCAATTGTATTGTGGATCCAGCTATTAAGCATCGAATTGCATTGTGTCCAAGCAAAAGACACATCAGCCTCACTTTCTGGAGGTTCTTTCACATCAACACTGATAAATCCAAGTTTGTTCTTGGCTTTGAGGGCGTTTTTCATGGCCTTAGCCCACACATCATAATTTGTTTCTCCCTTCAGCACCACGTTGGTCAACAGAATACCTGATCCATCTGCATTGCTCAGATAGTAGGCTGATCGCCTGTCAGAAATTGCCAGCTTCTTTGCGGTACTGGTCCCTTAAGGGTTTGCGTCGAACATGACTTTGCTCCTAACTTAGAGTTGTAAGCGGAAGGCTTGCTTGCTCTTATACCAAGATAAAAGTTGGTATCTACGTTCTTACTAATTGAAATGTTGTCCATAAATAGGCTCAGAATTACAAATAAATTTGAACTAACAACAATATGTAACCAACTCATAAAATTGCAACTCCTAACAAAACGCAATCAACTCCTATTAAATACAAAATGCAATCAACTCTTATTAAATTCAAAACGCAATCAACTCCTATTACATTAAATTCAAAATTCAAAATTCAAATTGCACAAATCCTATCTGCTCTAAATTGTATTAAATCCTAAATCAAAACGTGATACTCTAGATTAAATTCAAAATTCTAAATTTAAAATATATAACAGCAACATAACCTTCAATCGATTCGAAGCAGGTCTCGGGATTAAGACTTTAAACATCTCCTAAATACGATACTGCGGAGGATTGAACACATATTCTCACCCCACCTGCCTAGTTCCTTATCATCAACTGACCTACTATTTCATTAAACATAATATGAAAGACGATTTCCAAATGACTCAAATTCAGTTTTTTCAAATATTACAAATACATATTGGACCTTCTTATATATCATGAAAAGAAAAGAGATTGATTTTTCAAACTTCCAAGATATGCGAGGGAATATTATTACCCTAATTAGAGAAGCGAGAACTTATATATGTTTTACTAAGAAATTCCATCATGCTCTTTTGAGTTTTTGACTTCCATATGAAGCGAGAAGAACGTAACAACTGACTCATGATGATGAGTGGTGCTAGTTGTTCTCAATAGCACCCACATAATTTAAAAGAAATTAATGATACTCAC